AAAAAAGAAAAACCATTTTCAGCATCAAATGGAAATTTTTAGCATTATTATAAACAAAAAAATTAAAAAATATTTTTGGATAGACTTTTACTTTAATACTTTTAAAAGTGCCTAAGTATAAAGTATATATAATAATTTTACTTTACTATTTTTACTTTGAAATCTATTTGGATAAATTGTAAAGTGTGCTTTTCATAATAAAACACTATTTATCGTTTGGCAAAAACATGATAGTAAATACATGTAAGTGATCAATGAGATTGCCACATATTAGTGACGCGTGTCAATTTGTGTAGTTATGTGGCATGTGGCAATCTAAATAAGTGACAATAGTCACACACACATACATCTAATAATGGCATGTGGTAGTTACATGGTGACACATGTCAACTTGTATCATTATGTGACATGTGGCAAACATAAAACAATGACACATAATAATGACTTATAGTAGCCATATAGTAGCGATAAATGCCAACTTGTGATGTTATGTGACACGTGTTAATAAAAAAACAAGGGCATGTGTTATGACATGTATACATGTTAAATTGTATATGCCCTCAGCTCCATTTAGATTATGTATTTTGACTTTTGTTATTCAATAAAATCATATCACTATTATTTTTTTTTTGTGTTTGATATATTTCTATGTGTTACCCATTAAATTGGACATTTATGAAATTTATGTTACTTTAGAATGTTTTCAACCATCGGATAAACATGAGGAGTTTATCCTAACAAAGCCAACACTTAATTATTGTTAAATTGGTGGACCAACTTGTTTTAACTGCTAAGTTTGGACCCTAGGTATAATTACTATGCATTTATTAGAAACATTGAACAATGACCAAATTTTAGTTGTGCCTTAAACCTTGAATCGAAAAAATTGAAAAGTTGCACTTAACTCCAAACTTGATAATGATATTTTTTTTTTATGTATGAACTAGTGAGATCCTCCAAGGGTCAAATATGTTGGTATGTTAGAGCAATTTGGAATATCATTTGGATGGGTGATCATTGTGATATGATCAGCGACTTTGCTAGACAAAGAGAATACCCTAGTTTAATGAAAACCTAAAATTGTCAGCGGCTGGATTTCAATATATTTTGAAATTAAGTTGCAAAATGTATTTATATTTATAAATAATTATTTGATGAAGAATGTTTGCAAAATGTTTTATCCCGAAATCCATTTAAGTAAAGGGTGTATCACCAAATTTAATAATTAAAGAAGGAATCTTTCCCAATGAGCAATGTATATATATTTTGGGTTGAGAGAGTTAAGATCAAAAGGTCATTTGGGTTGTAACCTAATGGGCATATTTCTTAAGTTAGTTCATTGTCTTTGAGCTTCATAGGGTGGTTGAAACCAAAGACCACTTCTACTTAAGTGTTGGACCCATACTAAACCCAATTCCATTGGTTTAGTGAACTCATCTCATGTGCTTTACTGCATGGGCCGAACCCATATGGATTGCCATGAAAGCTCAATGGGTCCTATGCCATATAATGTTCATGTCCAATGGACTTGCAACTAATGTGAATAAGAACCACTTGAGTTCACTTCGTGAATTTGACCCATGTGCTTCATTGCATTGGCTGAACCCATAAGGATTGACATTAGAGCTTAGTGGGGCCCATATCATACAATATTCAGGTTTAATGAACTTGCAACTAATGTAAATAAGAACCACTTGAGTTATGGGCATAGTCAATTCTAAAAGCTAACGCTAGTAAGACTAGTCACATGATTAGTTTAAGTTGTCAAGTGTTAGGATGGGTTATTTAGGTCAAATTGCTTATGGGTTTGGGTTTAGGTCTTTTTATTAATAATGTAATTATGAGTTTTACCAAATTAGAGAACTTCTAATTAAGTTAGAACTCAAAATTGGAAACTCCTAATGACATTAGAATTTGCCAATTCTATAAAAGAGAGTGAGAGAGATTCTCTTGCATTGTCATTACATCTAAACCCTGGTTTCACCATGCCATTGTAGGAGACATTTCTCTCTTATTTTCTCTATGTTTTTCTAGCAAAAGCCCAAAAAATCTTAAGTGATTATCAAAGTGCACATAAAATTACAAAGTTAGTTTGCAAACCAAATCAAAAAAGTTGTAGTAGAATTAAGCTCTCTATTGTTGTTGCACCATTTTCAACTTGGAGCTTGATTTAAGCTTGGATTTTGGATGTGAACAACTATTGTGGAAGCTGGGTTTTGTGGATTCCATATTAGATATGGACCCTTTTAGTTTTGGAAATCAAATTGGATCATGTAAGGTTAGATTGATCTGAGGAAAAATTTGTTCAAATAGAATTTTGATTGTCCTATTCATGGATTGTTAAAATGATTTTTTTTTTTTACCATAGAAACTCTAGCAATATTCAACTCAGTCCTTCCAACAATATAATAATGACATGCGGAAGTTACATAACAGTGCTTGTTTAGCCATGCCGTCTAGCAATCACATGTATAATTAGTAACATGTGGCAATTACTAATAGTGACACATGTATAATGCCTTTCCCGTAATAGTCTCATAAATGGCACTTATATGGCATGAAACACACATAGATGCCACATGACAATGGCATGTATAATAGTAACACATAGTAGTCGCATAACAATCACATGTGATATTGTTTCACACAAGAATAAGAGTACATTTAGACCAAAAGCACGGAGCATCAAAAGTTTACTTTGAAATTTTGGTGTTTTTTGTATTTTATAAAAGTAAAAAAACACTTGAAACAAACATAAACTTGTGCTTTTTGTACTTTTGTACTTTAAAAGTCTATCCAAACAATACCTAAAATATACTAATGTGTCACAGTGTAACTTGGACTGTTGAATGACAGAGACTCAAAAATGGTTTAACCTTTGAGTCAGTTTTTAAAACATTTATCTTATTATAATCCTATCTAATAGTTGGGAACAAAATTACTTTTAAGGGTCATTTATTAGAATATCCCCTATTGTTTCATCGACTTACTATAGTTTTTATTTTACTAAAGCACCTCTATAGTTTATAAACTATTTACTTAATTAATTGACCTTTTCACTAAGAATTTTTTGTTTTGCCATTTGAAAATAGTAACATGATCATCTAAACTGAGTGGGAAAGGTTCAATGGCATGGGTCCAAGATGGTTTATGCCAAAAGTAACCCTAACACTTCTTTATACACAAAACGAAATTGACTAAATAGAGCCAAATAGAGTGGTTGCTCATGTTTTACTAGGGGCAAAAAATGATATTTTCATTTTTATTTTCTTTTGATTAAATTTATTCAAATGAACAATTAGGACAAGGAGTTAAATATCGATACATGTATTCATTATTGGCCAATAGCAATTCAAGATACACACCGATACATTGCATCTTTATTCTCTAAATCTTTGTTAAAAAGTGTGGATGGTGATTCAAAGTTAAGCCACCTAATGCATGCCAAACCTTTGTTATAATTCTAAACCACCAAGTCATGCTTCATCTTATGATAATAAGTAAAATAAAATAAATTTTATTTACTTTTGTGACCACATGCAATTTAAACAAAAAACACATGTTTATATTTAACAACTCTAACTAAAAATTCCTAAGAATAGTATTCAAAAATAGTATTTTATAAACTAATAAAATAAATAATCTATCAAATCCACATTTATATATAAAAAGATGGTTTTTTATATCAAGAAATTTATACAAATAAAATGATAATAATAAAATAATTATTCTAATACTTAAAATTTATAAATTTACACATGATATGCATCTAAAAATTTTTATATATTTTTACAAATTATCAACTAATATTTTGATTTACATTAATAAGTAATAGCAACATATTTATTATTTGCAAGAAACAAAAATATCGTTTACAAAATATTGAATAATATAATATCAATTATTAAATCTATCGAATCCACTAATCTACATTTATTTCAAGAAAATGATTTTTTATTTCACAAAATATATAAAATATTAATAATAGAATAATTATTTTAGTAATTAAAAATTATGAATTTGTATATGATATCTATCTTAGAAATTTTGACAAATTTGATATACTTTAAGTTAAGATAGTATATTTTCAGCATAAATAAAGTAAAACTAAAGCAAAATGAAATCAAAATTTTTACACTCATGTATTTGTACAAATGCCAATGAAATTGCATTACAAACAAATGGAAACTTCAATTTTTTTGTCATGTCCGTATATATAATGAAAGTTGTACCATTATTAACAATTAATAAGCAAGTTTAAATTAAAGAATGTTTCTTGTCAAATGTCAAATTATATTGATTTTCTTAAGTTTAAACTAGGTCCAACATTTTAGGCCCCTCTAGGGTAACATATAAAGATGATCATGGGTTATGTCTTCTCTAGGCATTTACAAGGTAGTAAGAGTATTTTGGGTTGTTTGGGCTAGGCGCCTAAGCTTGCCCCACACAAGTTAAAAGTTCTATTTAAAAATTTAAATTTAAACTTAAACTTATATTTAAAATTACGTGTATACATACATATACGGCCTTTTATAAAAACAAAAGGTAAATTATAAATACTCCCCTGGGGTCTATGACAAAGACCCCTTATACTTTGTTTTGTAACAAAGACCCCCCTGTACTATGACTGTGAGACTAAGACCCTATTCAGATTCCTTCACATTTCTCTCTCTCCCACGACGAGTAAAAGGCATGGCCCACTAAACGATTCATCTGGTTGGTTAATTGAAAAATCCCATCGTTCTGGATCTGAGCAACTCCGTTCAAGCTTATGTTGGTGCCAATTCCATAGAATCCACCGTAGAAGATCTCATCGAACTGGGAGAAAACCGGGTTCCACAAGAAGAAAATAAAAAATCATAGACATCCAAGATGCATCGCCATTTAAATTAGAAAAACCTTGGAAGTTGAGATTTGGGGGTATCGACGCCGCAGAGTGAAGAAGATGTGGGCTATGCACATAGAAAGAACTTTAGATTTAGAGGAAGAGCAACAAATCATGACTGAACAAAGAATGGTTTTCTTTGGTTGAAATATCAAGGCAAAAGACAGAAACAGAAGCAAATAGCTCATGGGACTAAGGGAGGGTGGTGTGATTCAGGCACATGCTCTTGCAGGTTTGGGCCGTTTGGCTTGGAACCTTGGATGATGACTGACGAGATCGCAAGTTCGCAACTAATCCAATTTCAATTATCATCAAATTGATCATACTCACTGGAAAAACATGGCTGAAGCTGGAAATGAAAGAGGAATACGTAACCGGACCGGACTATATTACTTTTGCCGCTGCTTCTACGGGCCTGCGGCCGCCGCTTCCACCACCTCCGGTTATATTGCGCACTAGAACCCTCGGCTTGGAGTCGCAGAAGACGCGCGCCAAACCAAGAATAGTGATCAGAAGTACTACCAACAGAATCCCACCTGGAGAGAAACCCCGAAGGATCTGGAACAGAGCTCTTGAATTGAAGAAGAACCGATTTATCCAAATCAACGACATCACCATAAGCAAACGAGAAAATCCAGAATAGAAAGAACACATAAAGGGTCTCACGAAGCCGACGCCATCTCATCTTACMCCAACGCATTATTCTCCACAATCGGAAGAGAACCCAACAAAATCCTAACCCACAAACCTTCAAAAAGAAACCCCTCCCCTCCCACTCTCTCTCTCTCTCTCCAGAGAGAGAAATTCAAGTTGCAGAGCAGCGGAACAAATATTAGTTTTCCGAAACCCAAACCGTAATTAGTGGTTTGTGAGCACAGAAAAAAAAAAAAAGAAGATTTAAAATTCCTCTGAGAAAACRCGTTTTCGTCTTCAGTCCACTACTGCTTGTTTCCTCTGAGAAAATGTGTTTTCGTTTCAGAAACACGGCAAGCCATTGCATATTGAGGGCAGCTTAAAGTTGACAAAGATTAAAGAAAAAGAATGGTCACTCGCCACTAACCATTGGCGAGTAGTGGCTACTGTGACTGACCTACATCTTCACCTACCCCATCAAAACAACCATCGCTCATTTTCCTTTTTTTTTTTTTACAACAAAACAGAGCCTAGACAACTTCCCACCTCTCTCTCTCTCTCTCTCGACCTAAAATGTTAAGCGGGACTTCACCTCCGTTCCTCATTTCCACCCTCGGAAGAATTTCTCGACGAACAAATAGACATTTCATGAGAAGGAGCACTCGCACACCGCGACAGAAGAGAAGTCTCTGAATCTGGGGAAGAGAATATCAGAATTGAATTAACAGACTTGAACTATAGATAGAATAGTTGAAACGTGTTCTATGGTTAAGTCTGAAATGAGGAAATTATAGTGAGACCAGATCTACACCTCTGGAAGCATTAAACGACCTCTTGCAGTGAAGGATGGTGCTCTAAATCCCATCCTGCTGCTGCAGAAGTGAATCGTCGCGTCTTCTTGCCTGAAAGGGCTGTACTCGTCTCTTACTCCTCTGGGTGGAAAGAAGAAAGGGGAGAAGAGAGGGGAAGGGGAAGAAGAGAGATCGAGGGAGAGAGAAGGCGAGAGAGAGAAACGTGAAGGAATCCGACGTAGAAGGTACGTGAGGTCGGGGAAGATTAAGAGTGTTTTTCTCTCAAATGTCCGAATAATTATTACAAGGGTAGTATGAGGATTAAAAAATATTGTGAAGGCGAATTTTTATGTATTGTGTAATTTATTCAAAAAAAATTAATAAAGTTTGATTGATTTATAAAATCAGATATGTTTTGAAAAAAATGGAAAAAACAGTTAATACAACAAAAAGTTATCTTTGTTTCACTAACTTGCCCCTTGTTATAGCTTTCGTCTTTTCATCTTTTCTACTTTTCTAGGTCTGGCCGTCGAATTTCTAAAAGACCGACAACAGAGAAAGAAACAAAGAGGATGGACAATTCAGATTAGGGGTGAGAAAAAAATTGAAAAACCGAATCAATCGAAATTGAATTGAAAAATCGATTAACTGAACTGGTTGGTTCAGTTTTTGTTCGGTGTTTTTTATAAAATCGAAAGTATCAGTTTGGTTTTGATTAACTAATATAGAAAACTGGCGGTTAATTGAACTGACCGGTATACATATATTTCTATATATTTTATATACATTTATGTATATTATATATTAATAAATATGCATTATATATAAATATATATAATAAATAATATATTATTTATTATTTAAAATATAATATTTTATATATTTTTTGTAATTTTTATTATATATTATAAAAATTAAAAAATTAAAAATTTGAAAAATCGACGAACTGAACCAATGGTTAACCGAATTGATCAACCAATTAACAGATAAGTTTTGATTACCAGTTTTCCAAAAACCGGTACTACCGATCAATTACAAAATGAGCCCCAAACCGTGGTCGATTACATTGATGCTTTTTATTTTCTCTTCTTGCTGTCAATTATGCAAGACCTACAATTTTGGACAAGGAGTATGCAAGGTGGTTGGAGACTTTAGGATGATCAGAGCCAATTGAACTCATTAAGCGTAGTGATGGGTCGTCCCTTCTCTGTGTTTTCTTCTTCCTTAGACTGGCCTTTTCAAACTTTGGCAGAGCCCGGAACCTGAGACAGGTAAAAAAAAAAGACAGGTTACTTAGAAAGGTTCTCTACTATGATATGGAAAATATATGATATTGGAAAAATAACTGACTAATAAATTAAAATCACAAACAAACGTGATAGCAAATAAGATATTATTTATCAAATTCATGGGTGGATTTTGATTGGTCAAAAAACTCTTTTCTATATTAATTAATAAAACCTTATTAAATTTTTTTTTTTGTAAAAAGCCCTACACACATAGGGGTGATCATTTTCAGTACTGTAAGACAAGAACCCACTATGAGACTCTAATTAATCCATCATGCCTGAGATGTATAACTCTAAATCATGTTGTTGTTGTTGTTGTTGTTATTGTTATTGGGGAGAGTAGCTTTGGATTTGTACGTCAAGTGGATCTGTAGAGCAATGGACCCAATTAGACCTGTTCACGGGATGGGGCTGAGTTGACTTTGCCTCTATATTAATAAAACATGTTTAGGCTTGAGCCCGAGTCTGACTCAACCATCAGGCCTAGATCCTGAGCCCAAGTTTGGACCCAAGCCAAAAACCTGACCAAGAAGTTAAGCAAGAGTTATTTCTTATTTTTTTGAACAATAAAATTGATTTATCTACCTTAAACGACCTCAAAGCCTAAAAATACTAAAAGATCTTAAGAAGAGGAAGCTCAAGCCCAACCTAAGGTGATTTGGACCCGAACATGAGCCCATGGGCCTAAAAACTTGCCCAATCCCGACTGTGAACGGGCTTTGAATGTTTTTCTTGAATCTGGATTGTGGTTTTGGATACATATGTGTTCAATTCCTAAATGTCATATTAACTCAATAACTACTCAAGCGTGTCATCCTATAGTCTCCAATTGGCTGACATTTATATCTTAATAGTGTCATGGATGCATATGGAGAGTTCAGATCTGTGCTCCACAAAGTCTCCCACAGCACGTTTCCGCCGTGTATTGGAAATGGAGATTATCATTTCTAATATATTATGGGGCACAGATGTGAAGTCGCAAATGGGATGATCATTAGGAGGAACTAGTCAAGTAGTCAGCTAGGTGGTGGAGGGGGGCATGGCCCCCACTGTGCATTTAAAATCCCCATTTTCTCATGTTTATTAACTTTTGACTCTTAATCGATGTTTATTAGTTTTTGACCCATTCAAAGAAAAAATCTTGACTCCGCGCCTGATGATTATTCTAATGGAGTTTACTCTTTCTCACATGAAAAGCAACCAGTGTAAGCCAGACATTATTACATTCAATCCATTTAACAGATTCATATGGGAAACGGCAAGCCTTTGACAAGATGGAACAGGTTTTCAAGAGCTTATTAAGCTAAAAGGAGAATCCAACTGTGTCTACATTCAATTCTATGATTGTAAACTATGGAAAATTAAAGCTATGGGATATACACCAAGCCACATCATATACGAGAGAGCCTTATTACTACCTATGGACTTACAAGTTTCATGGGCCTGAGAAATATTTGATGGGATGATGGAAAATAGTAAAAGCATACAAGTTTCAACTGTTAATGGCATGCTTGTTGTTACTGCATGAATGGCTTACCCTTTGAAGCAGATAAGCTGTTTGAGTAGGCATGCAGTCGGTCCGGATTAAGTAGGGATAACGGGGTTCGGATGTAATAGGCACGTTAGGTAAGCATAATGAATGAGCATCTATGTGACACATGTTTCGGTTAATGTATCTTTCATCCAAATTTTTTTTGTTTTGTTAGATAGAAATTATCTATTATTTTATTATTTTTGTCCAAATAATTAAAAACAAAAAACAATGAAAAAAGAAAATGTAAATGAGTCCCAATTCCCAACACGTTAAGGTTTTCCTTTTTATTATTCTGACAAAAGACAATAAAATAATGGATAATTTCTGACTAAGGGAGTAAAAAAGTTTGGATGAAAGACACATTAACTGGACATGTGTCACACAATTATTACGTGCTCACTCATTGTGCTTACCTAACGTGCCTACTACATCCGGACGTTGTAAGTACGTTGAATAAGCACTTAAGAAAATTTTTGGACACCTGTCTCTTAAAATACACCTAGCCCGCATGTAGTAATGGTTTTTTTTTCGGTTCCAAATGGCTCAACATATAAATTTCTCTTAAGCCAATAATTAAGGGCGGCAAATGGGTGGATTAGGTGAGGGTTGAGTATCAACCCACTCACATGCATTGACCCTCTGACCTATTTTCCACCCTATTTATTGGGTCTTAGTGGGTCATAACTAGGCCTGTTCATGGGCCGGGTAGCCTGATGGCCTAGCCTGCATCCCGGTCGGGCTTGGACACGTAATTAGGCCCACGGGCCTGATCTCGGGCCCAAAACACCAAGCTCGATTGTGTGTTGGACCGGGCTCAAGATTTGTCAAAAAAGCCCGACCTGATCCCGGCCCAGCCCAAATCATTTATATAATATAAAATATATAATATTTATTATAATATATATATACATTAATAATTTAATATATACATTTTCTATTTTTTTCTTTATAATTTCTCTCTCTCTCTCTATTTAACCACTTCAGCAACAGCATGAGCTATATATACTTCGAGCTCAGGCCCAGGCCCGAGCTTCGGGTTTTTTATGAGGGCCGGGCCCAGGCCCAAGTTATAGGCTCGATGGTCGGGTCATGCTTGGGCTCGGGCCTTAAAAAAATCAGTTAATGCAGAGTGAAAACCTAACCTAGCCTGATCCATGAACAGGTCAAGTCATGACCCACCCTAACCCACACATATGACTCATAATCTAAGGCAAATGTTAAGAAAATACTGAATATTTTATGCAAACAAAATATAAATATTAAAAAATTATTGAAAACTAGAAAAATTAATAAAAACACAAAAGTTGATATAAATTTAAAGGAAAAAATGAAAATGATAAAATAAAAAATATATAGTGTTTTAAAAGTTGATATTGCATAAAATACCTAAATTGAAAAAAAAATCAAAATAATATATATTTGAACTCAAAACTTGTAGAAACATAAAAAATGATAAAATTCAAATAAGAAAATAAAAAAGTAGAAAAACACAGAAAATTATATAGGAAAATTGCGGGAAATTATAAAATTAAAAACAAAAAATTATATAAGTTGCAAAAAAATACAAAAAAGAAAAAAAAACATAAGTTATACAAAAATACATAAATTGCAGCAAATGTAAAAAAAATACAAAAAGCATATAAATTGCAGAAAAAAACAATAGAAGTTATAAATACAAATATTGAAAATATTTCGGAAAGGCTTGGAAGAACATATATATATATATATATATATATATACATAGATCTAGATTCACACCAAATCTTGAACCCCCGTCACCCGCTATCCCAAGTTCCCAACAACTTGTTGGGTGTGGGTCCAGCCCATATGAGGGGCCCACCCCACCTTTATTTGCTCCCAAAAGGAGTCGTATAATAGAAGCCAAAGGCTCCCACCTTTTTGTTTTTGGGCATCATGTTTCGTAACCACTCGAACTATGAAAAACAAGAGAGAAAAGAAAACACAGAACCGAGGGTTTCTGGGTTTTTTGAGTTTGTGAAGAAGAAAAGAAGAGAGCTGATTTTTCTGCTCCATTCAAGGCCAAGCTCGGAGGTGTTTCAAGCCCGTTCTTGATGATATTAAGTGTTAGAGTTAAGAATCCCACTCTAGTTCAGATTTGGTGATTCTTCCTTTCTCTACTTCTCAATTTAGATTTATAGCAACTTGGTGAGATCTAAACCTCTATTTGTGTTGTATCCACCTTGCATTTGGTGATGTTAATACTGTTCTTGTAAGCTAATGGTTATTTCCTTAATGTTTGTAAGCCTCTAGTTGCAACTAGAGAAGACTATTGTACCCATTAATTTCTAAATTAGTGGAAGACTTTTACGGATCATAAGTCCTGTGGTTTTTCCCCGATTTTGGGGTTTTTCACATAAAAATTCTGATGTGCTATTGTGTGGTGATTGTTATCTGTTTTTTTGTTACTTGGCTGAATTGTTTACTTGTTATCATTGTTGTTGGCATATCCATTTTCACACACAAACTTAGGGGAAAAGTTCTTGTTGTCCTGGGATTGGTTTTACACTCATTTCTGCTACTATAGTGTAACTTCCCCAACACAACTGTACTTAAAAACGAAAATATCCTCTTGTTCTATAATGGCAGAAAGAGCAAAGAGTCTGTGCAAATCCAATCTCAGTCGTCGGCTATCGTTGTAGTGGTACGAAAAAAAATTCTCTGGCCTTGTTCTGCAATGGTGAGATGTTACGTTCACTCTTCTTGTTGCCACATCATCACTAAAATGGTAACGCATGCACAACGAACATTAGGTGCTCCTAACTTGGGTTGGGCTGATGACCTAAAAAGAACTTGAAAGATTCGCCCATTTGGAGGACTTGCAAGTAAACACGTTCCATTTCTATGGAGTAGCCTCAGTTGTTGGGTATCCCATGGATCCTACATACATACTATCAAAATCAGCATCGTTCCATTTCTATGGAGTAGCCTCAGTAGCTGTATCAGTCCTACAGTACTCCTTCCAAATTCGTTCACCAGGAATGTTCCATTTCTCATTAAACAGCCACGCCTTTTAATGGACTACAAAACCAGTATAACTCAATATTTGCTTCAATGTTCAAAAGCGAAAGTGGAAGATGGGACGCACAAATGCATTAAACTAATCTATATGAAGAACATTTCCACTAAAACTGCAAGCTGAAGATAGAGTAGAAAACACAGAGCTGTAGTTGTAGCGGATATGGTCTAATCACAGCGGTTAGCGTACACGTATTTGATCCTCAGAGGGGAAGAGGAGAAAATTGAGCCAGCAATCAATGAATAACGGAGGACACAATACCTTAATTGGAATTCATAAATTTGGTGAACAAAACAAGATGGAGAGTCTCTAGTTTGCTGCTTATCTGAGAATTGATAGTGTGTGTCATTGACACAACAACCCATGAATTAACCATACATGCCTCTCTAGAGTTGAATGAAGCAAGGCATATCACTCCTTTTTTACCTTTACTAATTAAAGAAAAAGAAATGCACGATACAGTAGCAAGAAGCCAAGATATGCAGTAATAATGGCTACTTTATTTCAAAAACTACTTCATCAGACTCCTACAACCATGAGATGAGACCCACTAGCACTCACACAACAAACGTTATTCACAGATATGATCTGTCTTCTTTTTCCCTTCACTTATTTCTAGTTGCAAGGGTTCCAGGTAAGTTGGATTTGCCTTAATTATAACAGAATGAATAGTTGTTGTTGCCACATCATCACTAAAATGGTTACGCATGTGAGTCTCATCTCAATGGGCCGTAAAAGAGAGTGGGTTGGCTTGATGGCCCAAAAAAACTTCCAAGGTTCGTAACAAGACTAAAACACCAAAGATCTACCAAAGTACACAGGTTTTGAAAAAGACTCTCACATCGAATACGGTGAGTGAGGGTTGTATTTATAATAGTAGAATTAGAGTTCAATTACAAAATAAATTGTAGAAATGATAAGAAGGAGAGAGGATATGATGATGTGATAACAAGAGAGAGAGATAGACATGAAATACATAAAATATATCCTAACAACTAAAGTGTACGTGGATTGCTGGAAGAATTATCGTTATCACCCCCCTCAAGGTGGACGTGCTAAGGGGTTTTGTCATTATGTCAGCAAGTTGATCATGCGAGAAGAGAAACTGGACATGAAGTAGCTTTTTGGAGACTTGATCACGAACAAAATGAACATCGATCTCCACAGGCTTGGTACGGGCATGGAGGACTGGTTGGCAGAGAGGTACGTAGCACCAAGGTTGTCACACCAAAGGACCAGGGTGCCGTTGAGGGAATGGCAAGTTCTTTGAGAAGGGATTGAATCCACAACAGTTCGGCGGTGGCAACAGCAACACTTCGGTACTCGGCTTCAGTGCTGGAGCGCGAGACAATATGTTGCTTTTTGGATGACCATGAGATGAGGTTATTGCCAAAGAAAATGCAGTAGCCACCTTGGGATTTGTGATCATCCGGGCAGCCAGCCCTGTCAGCATCTGTAAAAGCATGAAGATGAGGAGAGTGAGACGATGTAATACAAAGACCAAAATGAACGGCATCCTTGAGGTAGCGCAAGATGCGCTTGACGTCTTGCCAATGTTCAATAGTGGGTGCACTCATGAACTGGCAACCTTTGTTAACACAAAAGGCTATATCATATTGAAGAGCACCAATTGTACATATGTACTCAGTAGGATTTGGAAGTGGGTCACCTAAATGTTTGGACAATTTGCAAGAAGCGTTCATGGGAGTAGGGGCGGGCTTCACATCCTCAAGATGGAGATGTTGCAAAAGATCAACAATATAGCGTTGTTGGGAAAGAAATAGTCCTATGGGTAGGCGAATTGCTTCAACACCAAGGAAGAAGTGCAGTGTGCCCATGTCCTTAACAACAAAGGCTGAGCCCATTCTAGTGATGAGAGAGGAGATAGCAGCTGGACTGGAGCCTGTCACTATAATATCATCAACATAAATGAGCAAAAGAAGAGAAAAGTGAGGTGTGTGCTTAATAAACAGTGAAGTATCAACTTTGGAGCAGGAGAAGCCATCATTAAAAAGAAAAGTACTTAATTTTTTATACTAAGCGCGGGGGGCTTGCTTGAGCCCATAAAGTGATTTGCGCAGTAAGCAAACGTGATCGGACTTGGTGGGGTCACGGAACCCCGACGGCTGGGCCATGAAAATGCTCTCAAAGATCTTCCCATGCAAGAAGACAATCCGGATGTCTAGTTGGTGTAAAGACCATCCATGGCAGACAACATGGGACAAAATGAGGCGAATTGTGATGGGCTTAATGCTGGACTGAAGGTCTCAGTGTAGTCTACGCCATCTTGTTGTGTAAATCCCTTTGCAACAAGACGGGCCCTAAACCGGGAGATGCTACCATTAGGATTTTGTTTCACACGAAAAGCCCATTTACACCCGACAATGTTGGAATTGGGGAGTGGGGGTTAGAGAGAGCTTTGGAGAGGCAAGAGGGCTCAGAGTGAGGTCAAGGAGGGGATGACGACTAACAAAGAAGACCTTGGGCTTGAAAATGCCATTTTTGGAACGAGTCACCATGGGATGAGTGGACTGATGAGGAGGTACGAGAATGGGCTGGGAGGGAGCAGGAGAAGGAGAAGGAGAAGTGTGATCAGCGTGAGGTGGGCTCATTGAAGTTATTAAAGTTGAGGTGGTGGGCCCATTAGGAGGAGGCATGTGCAATGCTTGGTTGGATGGGCCCGGTGGGCCCAGTGGAAAAGATATGGGGGCTGGTGTTGTCAGTGGTTCTTGGTTAAGGAATTCGGGCAGGTGGTTGGAAAGGGATGGGCCCGTAGTGGGAAGGGAGCTCACAGCACTTGGATTGAGAGAGGGAGATGGTGGGCCCGACACGATATGAGGAGAAAGAGGATCTAGAGGCAGCACGTGACTGTTAAGAATAGGGGGGAGGCCAATAGAAGGTTCGGTGGTATCAGTGCTAGTAGGAGTTGGACAAGAGGGTTGCCTAGAAGAAGGAAAAGCATCTTCATTGAAGACGAGGTGCCGGGAAATAAAAATGCAGCCAGAGGGTGGTATATGAAGGCACTTGTAACCATGGTGGGCTCTACTATACCCCAAAAAGACACATGATTTGGAGCAGACTGAGCAGTAAGAAAACTTGTGATTATTGTAGTCTCGTAGACATGGGAAACATTCACATCCGAAGACTTTCAACCGTGACAAATCAGGTTTGGAGTGAAAGAGGGCTTCCCATGGTGAGCGGTACCCTAACACAGCTGTGGGTAAACGGTTCAAAAGATAGGCAGCGGTGTCAAAGGCATCCCACCAGTAGGTTAAAGGGACAAAAGCGTGGGCTAGAAGTGTGAGGCCCATGTCAACAATGGATCTATGACGGCATTCAACAGTGCCGTTTTGTACAGATGTGTGTGGACAAGTCAACCTATGAACAATTCCATGTTGGAGAAGAAAGGGCTTAAAACTACGGAATTCTCCACCATCATCAGTTTGGAGAACCTTGACGGATGAATTTAAAAGTTTCTCAAATGCATTAGGTTTCATATGCAACGGATAGATCCAAGTGAACTTAGTAAAATCATCAACAAATGAAATGTAATACTTAAAACCATGAGAAGAAATCGAGGTTGGTCCCCATAAGTCCGCAAAAAATAATGAAAGAGGTTTTAGAAGAAGAATGTTTCCTAGAAACAAAAGGCAATTTATGATTCTTGCCCAATTGGCAAGATGAACAAAAGGCTAAGGATTTATTCGAAGAGAGAAGCAACTGATTGGTGGAGATGACATGGCGCACAATACACGGGTTAGGATGCCCAAGCCTGTAGTGCCACATGTCAGCACTGCAACGTTCACCTATGAAAGCAAAATTAGAACTGAGTTGAGGAAGTCCTCCTAGATCTAGCTGATAAAGACCATTCTTATTCCACTCGTGGAGCAAAAGCTTCTTGGACTAGCAATCCTTTACAACAAAAAAGTTTGCATGGAACTTAAAAAATACATCATTATCGTGGCAAAATTGCCCAATTGAAAGTAAATTTTTGGTAATTAAAGGAACATGAAGCACATTTTTCAAAATGAAGGGATGAGTGGGGTTGGGAGTGAGTGTAGAACCAGTGTGGTGGATTGACAAACCTATCCCATTACCCATTTTGATCTGATTAGTACCCGTATATACTCGAAATGTAGCTTTAAGTTGTTCAAATCGGCAGTGAGATGATTTGTAGCTCCGGAGTCCGGATACCACAGAGAATGATCAGCAGAGGAGTTGGAGAATGTTGTATAGGCTGATTTGGGTCATTCTCCTTTCTTCCCATAACAAAAGTAGCAATTTATTGCAGTGTGATTTTTGCACTTGCAAATTTGACATGGGCTTGAAGGTCATTGTGGGCCTGAAGGTTGGCCATTATTAGGACCATTGGTCCCTTTTTTTGAATATTTTTGCTTGACCATGTTCCCGTGGAGGGTTGGGTCATCCATACTAATAGGATTGATTTGGGTCATCCATTGGTCCCTTTTTTTGAATAATTTTATTGTTATTGTTGTTGTTGGGCCCACGAAAGGTTGTATTGGCACTAAATGGACTGGATTCGAATCCAAGTTTAAAATACTCCTTCTGGAGTTCATGATTTAACAACATTCCATTGAGTTCCTTGATGGACAATTCCTCAGAGAGCGAGTGCTTACTGATGTGACAAATGCCTCATAGTCGGGTCCTAGACCCATCAATATTCGAAGATTAATATCGAATTCAGATATAGGAGAACCAACAACAGCAAGGCTGTCAACCAATAATTTGGCTTTCTAGAGATGATCAGCCATAGATAGAGTACCTTTTCTGAGAAGTTGTAACTCAACATGCAGTTGCATCACTCGGACCGGTGATTCGGAGACAAAGTGTTTTTCCAATGATTTCCACATCATTGCTGAAGAGGTGCACCCAATTACTTCTGTTAATGTTGACAAAAGCCAACTTAGTAAGAGGGCATATTGTCTTTCCCATGTGGTAAATGCTGGGTTGTGAATGTTGTTGGAACTGCTCACTGACTCTTCACTATTGGCAGTGACAGTGATATACTTGGGTTGGGCATGGGATTAACCCATCTACATATCTAAGTAATCCAATCCCTTTGAGAGCTTGAAAGATTTGAGAGTGCCACAGTAGATGGTTGTTTCTATCTAGCTTCACTATGACGAGATGAGTGAGGTTTACATTGCATAGCCCTGGATTTTGGTTTTGGGTTTGAAAATTTTGAGTAGTGGTGGCGGTGCTGCTACTTGACATGGTTGGATCAAGGTTTTGCTCTAATACCATACCAAAGTACACAAGTTTTGAAAAAGACTCTCACACCGAATACGATGAATGAGGGTTGTATTTATACTAATAGAATTAGAGTTCAATTACAAAACAAATTGTAGAAATGATAAGAACGAGAGAGGATATGATAATGTGATAACAAGAGAGAGATAGATGGACATGAAATACATAAAGTATATCCTAACAACTAAGGTGTACGTGGACTGCTGGAAGACTTATCGTTATCACTGTCTTACAATAGAGGCGAAGAAGAAAAACGCAGACATCGTCGGCCGCCGCTGAATCTCCCTACTCACTCCTTCCATTGGTGGTAAAGAAGAAAAATGCAACCCTCATCGAACAATTCGAACCTATTTGTTAATCACCAACTATTGTTGCATCTCCCTTCTCACTCCTTCCGTCAGTGGTGGAGAAGAAAAAAAATCAGCCGTCATGGAAATATTCAAACCTCAGTTCTCTAGTCCCTAGCCGCCATTGCATTTCCTTTCTCTCCTCCCATCTTCCATCCTTTGATTATGAAAAGTTGAGAGTTTTTGTTGGGAAACTTTTTGGAAATAATAAACACAACTGATTTGCTTCAAAGAAAGAGACTTAATTCTTGCTTAATTCCCAATAGGTGGGTTCTTTGCAAATCTAATGGGAAACGACTTACCACCTTATAGTTACTTGTCCTGTTACTAAGACTATTTGGGAGTGGGCTTCATCCTTGTTTGGATGCACTTGGAATCCCCCCATGAGTTTGCAAAGCTTGTTCTTTCCTTCGTTCTCAAAATAGCCTAAGAAAAGAGGGAAGATCATGTGGAGAAGCATTAGAGTGGCTGTATGCTAGTCCGTATGGGAAGAGAGGAACTCTAGACTTTTTTCAGACAAGGAAAGATCTATGCAGAATTTAACTAAATTGATATACTTAAGGGTTAGTTACTAGCTCAAATCTTTGGAGCTTTTTTCAGATTTCTCCATGACTGTTCTTTTGAGAAAGTGGAAAGAAATTGCTATATCGGCTCAGTGCAAAAGGACCTCTAGACCTTCTTGGTCCCCCCCTCCTTCAGGATTCATGAAACTTAATTTTGATGGTTGTAGTTTAAGGAATATTGGGCCTTCTGGGATTGGGGGAGTTTTCAGAAATGAGGCTAGGATTATTTTTGCTATGTTCTCTGGCCCTATTGGTGAGGGTGACTTTCTTAGGGTAGAGACTTTAGCAGCTTTGGAAGGAATCAAAAGAACAAGAAAATTAAACATTCAGTGATTGATCATTGAAGGGGACTTGGAGGTGGTAATTAGGTGGTTGAAGGAAGACAACAATGGTTTGTAGAGCTACAAAAATGAAAAGAAAAAATTTAAATGGCTGATTAGGGATATTGAGGTGAAGTACACAACTAGGTGAAGAGAAATGCTAATTCCATGGCTGATGGGTTAGGCAAGCAAGGGGTGCTTAAGGATTCTTTGTTTTGGGCCACTTTTTAGCTTTCTTTCTTGTTTTCTGTCTTGGGGGAGTTAAGATATTTTACCTCCCCTCTCTTGTACTTAAAGTTTCACAATTTTTATAATCTAATAAAGCATTTTGTTATTGATAAAAAAAAAGTTGGAAACCCTAAACCCTTTCCCCTCCCCTTAATTTTATCATTAATGTTGTACCCAATGGGTACCCTTTACCTAACCCCACCCTCACCCTTTTCTCTTTACCCCAGTGGGTTACTTGACTCGAATTGACCCATGTAAGAGATGGTTAGATATGGGTGGGTTTCAATGTAAGTGGGTCAAATGGGTTAGGGTCAAGTTTGCCAACCCTAGCCAACACGAAGGAACTTGCATAAAAATTATTGAAGTATATGGAATGGCCATTTCCTGATTCCCATTCTTGGTGGAATGAAGGGAATGACCATTTTCTCTCCCTTCCTTGGGAATGAGAATCCCATTCCAATAGATTTTGATTTTCATTTGAACAAAATAGGTGAGAAATACACCATGCAAAATAAATACACCCTAAGAAATTGAACTAGAGAATTTAAGAGATACTTCGTGGACTTTTATTAAATTGAACCAGAGAAAACAAATTAGGTGAGGAAACAGACAATTCCAATTATGATTTGGTCTTTGTACAAAACATAAATTGAACTACTACTTTTATTAAATTTATTATAATTCTTTCATTAAGTCCTATATTTAAAATATTAGTCCCCATTCTCTCTTATTCCTATATCTAAAATGCATTAAATAAATGAGCTTTGTGGACATTTTCTTAACAAAAACACCCCTACTTTTGAATATAGCCAATTCGTCTATCTCTAACAGTGAGAGCATAAAATATAATTTAAAGTATTATACTTTTTGATTCATTTAATTCTCTTTCATTAAGGATTAGCTTTCATTTTCTCTTTGGGTCCTTTATTTGAGATATTTTTGTTTTTCACTAAAATGATCTATTAATTAAATTTTTATCCAGTAATTTTATTAATATAAATCTTGTGTATTTAGAACCAACATAAAAGGTAAAAACTAAACTGAACTTTCATATGGGTATTGGGTAAGCAGTTCGACATTTGCCTCTTAAAAATCAACCAATATTCTCATAAATGATCCCATATTTGTCACTTGGCATCTCTCCCAAAACCCATATAACAACAGACAGCTATCCATGGTATGTCCAATGGACCTCACATGCACCTTACTTCGCCCCTCCCCGGCTCATAATTAAATAATAAAAATATAACAAATCTCTTAAAATGTCATTATTTAGAAATAATACTTGATTTTTCTTAAATTAAATAATGCATTTATACATAAAAAATCACATAAAATAATAATCTACATACAAATTTGGTGTAAAAAATTATTAAAATATATAAATAAAAAAATATCAAATATTGTCCCCGTACTTACTAAGGGGGTGATTCTCTTATTTATTAACATTTAATAAGCCTAAAGCCCCGGATCGCGATCCGTGTGCTTCTACACAGACAAATCTAGACCGATCGTTCCGTCTCAAATCCAACACTTAAAATTCCCTCGCGCCACATTCATCAAAATTTCAAAACTTTCCTCCACAGTCTATAAATATACTTTTCCACCGTCGCTGTTAATCCATCAGCCGAAGCAATCCAAATCTTCTTCAGTTTCTTCGTTTCGTTTCCCAATCGCATTTTCACAATCTCTTCTGTTCTGTCTCTCGGATATGGCAAGAACCAAGCAGACCGCTAGAAAGTCGACCGGAGGCAAGGCCCCAAGGAAGCAGCTCGCCACGAAGGCTGCCAGGAAATCGGCTCCGGCCACCGGAGGAGTGAAGAAGCCCCACAGGTTCAGGCCTGGAACCGTGGCTCTCAGGGAAATCAGAAAGTACCAGAAGAGTACCGAGCTCTTGATCCGAAAGCTTCCTTTCCAGAGGCTTGTTCGTGAGATTGCTCAGGACTTCAAGACAGATCTGAGGTTTCAGAGTAGTGCAGTTGCAGCGTTGCAGGAGGCCGCCGAGGCATACTTGGTCGGATTGTTTGAAGATACTAACCTGTGCGCCATTCACGCTAAGAGAGTTACAATCATGCCCAAGGATATTCAGCTTGCGAGGAGAATCAGAGGAGAGAGGGCTTGAATTTTATCGATTTCTCGCTCTTCGATTCTGTTCAGTATCTGTCGCTATACTTTCTGTCCTGTTCAGAAAGTTGTACTAATATCTTTTTCAACGATGATCTGAAATGAAGTAATCAATAGGTTTATTCATTTTACCATGACATCTTTCCTACATGTGTCATAACAGAGTAGGACTCTATCTAGCTTCACATCCATGAATTAATGAATTCCAAACCAATCAGTTTAGTTTATCATATACTTTCTCTGCTTCAATGTAAAATTCAAAGGGTCGACTGAAATAAATTAATCTAGTAAATGGGAAACCATAATGCTTTTGGCCTAATTCTGAAATTTCATTCAAATTATACGAAATCTTATTTGATTGCAGTACATTAACGCAGATACAGTTTTTTTAAGAAAATGTGTCTTATCTTTTGTTTGAAAATGTTTATTTTTTTGGAATAAAAATCTGAAAAGATGTTAAATTTGATATTACTCCAAACCACATCACGTCTTTATTGACAGCAATTGCATTGGTACCAAATGAACACTAAAATCCGTACATTGATAAACTTGTATCAATTGGCACCTTATGATCTGACTGATTTCTTGCGACTAGGGAGACAAATCGGGTATCAGAGAGAATTGCATCGGAGCCGGCCCATTTAAATTTTAACAAATCCTCAAACCAGTCCAATTGCATCCCTACTTGCAATTCCCCAGTAAAACATGGATATACCACTCCAATCAATCCAGCATTTTTGAATGGGGTCATGCTATTGGATCCTTTTAATACTTAAAAATTAAAATACTTTTGACTGGACACGTGTCCTCTAACGGGTAAGAGTTTACCGGGGCAAATGTTTCCCAGGCAAAAAAGTTGCCCAAATAAAGTTGGTACTAGCATTGCATTTGTACTTACCTGCGTATAGCGATACAAATGGATTAGATTGAATTTGAATCAGGATATATCTTAATCTGATCCAATAGCACATATCTGAGATCCAATCAAGTGGTGATCCAAATCCGAATTCATTAAGAATATTAGATATCTAAATTTGATCCGGTCCAATTCAAATTATGATAAAGTTTAATAAATTATTAAAAGATAAAACATAAAAATTTATATAAAGAGGAAACAAAATACGTAAGTATCTTTCAACTATCTTTATCATATATATAGTAATATATATGATGCTGTCCTATTCGAGGTATCTTGAACTAAAGTTGTGATAAGACTATCAATTAGCGAAACTATGAAAGGATGGAGCTGTGCACCAAGAATTGAAACAAAAAGATGGTCAGAGGCTTGAGGAATAGTTCTTTGGGTAGGTACTCCGATACTCAAGTTAGTCAAGAATGGTGGGTGGTTTGGCCAAGCAGTTAAGAGGAAAGTGCTGGTTCGAGTAGAGTAACAGTATGAGTGTTGAAGAGTCAAAAGTCTCTTACTTTGAGCAGGAGTTACCTTTTATGGCCAAAGATCCATGTCTTATTCGGATGAGACTTTCGGAGTTGTCAAGATGAGGTTGTTCGTCAAAGTCTTCAAAATAAAACCTAATCCCCGACGGAACTGTCCTCCTTATCCGTATGAAGTTCTCTTATCTTGGTCGCGCTTATCCATCTTACGTGGTGCTGACATGGCCAAGGTTTTAAGACGGTTGCAGAGGTGACATGTGGCACCCGAGGCTAATTCAATCATAACTCAAACAATATACATGTCTTGTTATAAAAAACTTAAAAAATATACAATTTAAACATATTTATAATTAAATACATTTATACATATATTAATATATATATCTTTTTTATAAATAAATATATTTATAAATATATACATATATTGGTCAGATCGAATCCTTTAGAATCGGATAGGGTCAGCCGAATTCAATGTGATTAAAAATCTGACAGATGCTTATCGAAATCCGACAAAAATGAGATGGGATCGGATCCATTTACACCCGTACCTGACTAAAAAGAGAAGCAGCAGGGGATTAGTGTTATCTACAAGCGGGTAAGCATCATATTCACCCTCCATGAAGGTATAAGTTACCCTGGTAACTGATATTCCTTTCAAAAAATTCGATTATTGCAGAGCCTAATTTAATGGCATAAGAATAGAGGGATCATGGTCAATTCCCTGATTAACAAACTTAACACATGAGATTCCTCAAATGAACGTGGCCTTAGTATTATAGTCCAAGGATTGCAACCTCCAACCTATAGAATTCTTTCTTGTGATGAAATACCCGTTTTTGTCAATTTATGCAATAATTATATAAGTTATTCCTAAAACTGTTAAATTCACCAACAGTTTTAGGAATTCTTAGTTCCATCGTACAAGTAGGATGAATTCTAATCATGGATTGATGTTAAATTCACCAACAGGATGTGGTTTATAGGGAGCTACTAATAAACTATGTGGGCTGTAATTTCAGAATTCTGCAATGGATGTAGTGTATTCCTCGAAAAATCTTATCATATACCAACAATAGCTATGAACTTGAGCCATCTCAAGTATGGATTCTTTTCCGCATTCAACTGGACTGCAGCTGATTGACTAGTTATTAAACACCTCCTGATCCTGAATCAATTAATGTGCCTCCTTTTGCCTGTTTCAAGATAAAAAAAGAATTATTTTGCCCAATTCATTGTGCTTATATTCAATTTTTATGATTTGAGATAAACCAGGAATTCCGTGTTTAACAAAGAATGATGACATCAAAAAACATCTTTTGAAGTTTGAATTAAGGAAGAGGAACGATCAACCTATTGTTCTTAAATAAATCACAAAATCTGACACAGTAAAAAGAAAAAAATAATAATAATTTCATTCGCACGTATTTTCAACCTATATACAGCTTTCAAAGACCAAGTCACTAAGAAATCTTTATCAAAAGAAAACATGCAAAAAATGCACAATAATTTTTTGAAATCAAATAGCCAAGAGGTATTATACTTTGAAAGAGAAATGGTTAATAGGAAAATCTTTTGTGTTTGTGTGTGTTTTACTCAAAAGGAAAGTATTAGAAAAGAGGACTAACATAATAAAGGTCTGATTTGGGCACATGTCTTAATGTTTTTATCTTTTGATCTCAAGTCTTAGTTATGAACAACCAAAGACCTTACCACCTGAGCCAATTGGCACTGTTGCTCCCTCTTAAAAAAATGCAATTTGCCCAAGTTATACAATCACAACCATACATCAGGAATATCTCCCCATGAATGATAACATACAAGTGATGTATAAAATTGGTGTGAGGAGAGCTCTGTGAGGAATATATCTAGATTCTCTTGTATGTATGACTAATTACATATGCCTCATAGTATTGAATGGAAGTTTCAGGCAATAGTGGCTCCACTTGCCACATACGACACTCAAAGTGAAAACAACATTTTAAAGCTTCTTCAATACTTCTATGCACTTCACTCGATGTAAATGGTATAGTATACATACTAGCACTTGATTTTACCCAACCAATCAACACTAAAAAACGACCTCATGGCACCATCCTGGAGTTAAGGCTGTGTTTGTTTTTCAGTGAAAGAACAAATATGCACAGTTCAAAAAAAAAAAAAAATTGACTTGTAATCAGTAGAGACAGATTTCAAGATGAAATCCACTGACCAACTTTGAGCGCAATGTTTGTATCAACTCTTTGGACACAAACTTTACTCTCATGTCTTGAAATCAAACACAGTTATTGGGTTCGGCTCTTATTAAAGTAACGAGTAACGACCCAACTGACTGTATGATGCTATGCGCAGCAGCATTGACTTCTTCCCTTGGTCACTTTACCAGTTTCATAATCTTTCAAAAAAAAAAAAGGATTAATTAAGTAAACAAATCAAAGACTTTCCGTTTATTGAACGTCAAGGTCATTAACACACAAGAAAACGTAATAAGTTTGAAATCTTCAACACTCGTTACAAGACTTCGTCTGCACAAATCCTTATCCCAGCCTTGTCAACTCACTTGTTTACAGTGGGCTTTTGATCCTTAATTTGAAGGCTTGAACCAGTTAATTTGCTTAAAAAATTATTTGAAACTGTAAACAGATGTGAAGCCATGGACTTCAAACTAAAGAACTAATTTAACTACTACAAAAACCAATGATTCCATCAACTCCCCAGTGAAAGAAAAATTAAAAAAAAAAAAAAAGTCTGAAAACTGGGTTCTCAGAGCTTAATTAGTATGTGGTATATGAACCAGAGATACAACTGTGGATAGTGCATGTGTGATTTTTTTTTCTCTTTTTCTAAGTCTTCTTAAGTCATTGACTGATTCAAATGAAACTTATCCATTTCATGCATGGAAATTATAAATAGTAGAAGGTACGTAGAGCCTGTTTTCCATAGAAGAATACAACAGCCTATAGCCTGAGAAGTGAGATACCATATAACTAATAATAAGAGCTGAGCTGAGCTTCAAGAATGGCAGCCATGCAGCAGGCCTACAATCCTCCGGAACGACCTTCAAGCAACTTGTTCAAGTACTTCAGATTTCACATCAACAGAGACTCGCCGAGCGCCACTCGGAATGCGCTGTTGGTGGTGGCAGCACTCATAGCCACCGTGACCTTCCAGGCGGGCGCCAACCCTCCCGGCGGTGTTTGGCAGGATACAAAGTTGGGACACGAACCAGGAACGTCCATCTACTCCAAGAGCCCAGTTCCCTTCACTCTATTCCTGGTTGCCAACACTGTCGGTCTTTCTGCGTCCATCAGCATCATCACTTATCTCACTATCGGCTTCCCTCTGTATGCAGAGGTCATCACCGCTTTATATTCGATGATCCTTACATATGCTTCTTCTGTAATTGCAGTCACACCCAAAGGCTCGGTCAAGTACCGTTATGTCCTCATTGGTGCTTTGCTGCCTTTCCTTCTACGGTTTATAAGGCAGACATACAGATAGTGTAGTCGCAAATATATAGTCCATGAGTTCAAATCAGTGATGTGATTGCAGAGCTGCAGAACAATGGAAGTCGTCCGTCCTGATTTCCAATTCCATTTTGGGTCGTCTGGGGTTGTCATGTGTCGTGTTCTAGCGTTGTAGCTCAAGTTGGTTTGTGGTTTGGATGTTTTAATTTTACTGGGTTGATCTTTGCTTATTGATCTGTTTGAAGCTTTCTAACTTTGAAATTTCATGATTTATTTGGGCAATAAAATCCTTCAGTTGTTGGGGGAAGAGAAATATGTTGGAATGTAATTAATCAGTTTCTGTTATCAAGCAGCACAATAATGAATGAACCAACGTGTAATCACCATGACACTATCATAGATTACTTTCACTGGTTTACTAATATCTCATGTAAACTTTGGAAGAGAAATTAATGTCCAAAACTGTCAATAAGTTGTTCATCCTATGAGCTTAAGTTGGTGAGGTCTCAATAGCAAAATCCTATATGGGCTTTAAGGGATGGACAAGTACAGGCACACACGTACCTTGTGTTGAAATTTAATTAAATAAAGTGGGGGCAAACAGCATCCTAAAAGCTTAAACTGTAAGGTCAGGTGTAGATGGGATTGCATCCAAAGTCTCCACTATAACCAACAAGAGGCCTTACCAACAAGCCCGTATTGACACCTTGCAAGTTGCAACAAACTGTTTGTAAATGAAAATAGGAAACGTTTGTTAAGAGAGTACCGAATCCAAGTGTAGGAATTTCTATCAGTGGAAAATTTTTGAGTTGTGTTTGTGCCTTGAATTCTTTATCAGTCCAATCCATTTTCAACTTATGGGTCCACACTGAATGTGTTATGTTATGCTGTTTGGGGGTTCTCTCTCTCTCATCTTTTTTGCTTGAAGAATTCGACTTTAAGAGATTAGGTGTATTGGGGTTTAGGGTTTCCGTGAATGAGGTTTTACCAATTCTGTAATTTCTATTGCGTTTTCTATAGTGGATTTTAACTCCACCCATGAATATAGGAATCTGTGTATGCTCTGCTTTTTGCTTCTCTTTACTTCTGTTTTACTTTATTTTCATGTCCCATTTGAATCTATGCCCTCTGGTGTGTTTTCGTAACAATGTTTTCCAAATTGTAATTCACTTATGGTGTTCTCACTCCTACAAATCTAATGCTTTGAAGGAAAAGTGACTCCTGAGATCTCATATCAATCATATCTCAACCACCAGTGAGAAAACATCAATTTCAATAATGGGATCCATTTAATGGTGGATACTGAATCTTCTGAAGTTGTTAGTATTTTGGGTACCTTGCAACTTATTTCCAGACCGTTTCAGGAGCCCTCAATCCTCAATCAAACTTTTTTTCTGTTTCATAAATCATGACATCTTTGAGACCTTCACAAGTAATGGAACCAACCATTGAACGATCTTGGATCTCTACCCACAAACACTTCCCACATCCCTACCCATAGGACACTACAGGTATAAATAGATCTGGCAATTGGGTTGGGTGGGTCAAGTTCGGGTTGGATCAAGATACTTCAGGTTGATTTTGGGGCAGGTTAACTTTCAAGTTGGGCCAGCAAATGTTAGACCTTAATCCTAAATGTTCAGGTTATGATTCACTCACGGGTCAATTCAATTCGGGTTATCCCTAATTGGGGCAGGTTAACTATTGAACGATTTTGATTTTCGGGTTGGATTGGGTCAACTTTTTGCCAGCCTATTTTTAGGTAAATTTCTCAACTTCTTGTTTGAACAAATATTCGTCCAAATCTAGACAGTAAAACGGTCCATTTCATGTGTTTGGGGGCCAGGTTGTGAAACATGAGACAGGTGGCAAATTATGGGTGATCAAAACCCACCTGCAGCGGGGTTAATTTTTTCTTGGCTGGATACGTTCTGGGCAGTTCATTTATTCACGCCGACCATGTCTTGATTTTTCGTCAAAATAAATTAAGATGTAATTATTAATTTATCCATTCTCATGATAACGTGGCAATTACAGGAATTCTCTCAAACAGCATATACAGTTTTTCCCTGTGGCGTGTCCTTATCTCGGACCCAGGATTTCCCGTTGGACTTGTAACACTGACTGATTCTCTTGGTCTCTTGAATCTTGATCAGGTATTTGTTATTTCCTTCTTTGTTCTATCATATAATCAATAATGAAGAAGAAGAACTGGTGTTTATATGCCGGTCAAGAATCCAACCTTTATTTACTTATTAGAGACTCAGCGTCTAAGTCTGTTTTTCCCATTTATTACTGTGGGCTCTCTTTTAATATCCTTTATAATTTGAACCAGCTTACACGCGGACGTTAATTCATCAAGACGTCATACATTAAGCAATTGAGATAATTAAATCTTCCAATTAATCCAACGATTCTGTCAGCTCCCCAGGGAAAGACCAGAGAAAAGTTCTAAATACAGGATTCACATTACAGCACCCAGTATAGAAATTAGGAACCAAAGCTGCTGCTGGAAGTGGTAATTGGTGAAGAGTGTGGATATGGAACCTGGGTTTATGTTATTCTTTTGAATGATTCATATCCAACTTACTATATATAAATACTGGAAGGTAGAGCCTTTGCATTCATAGCAACAACCAGCCAGTCTGAGAAGTAGATCAAGCTTAATTTGAGATTTAATGGCTTCTTTGCAGACTTACAACCCTCCAGAAAACCCCTCAAAGAGCTTGTTCAAGTACTTTAGATTTCACCTCGACAGAGATTCGCCGAGCGACACTCGGGATGCGCTCCTGATCGTGGCAGCACTGATCGCTGCCGTGACCTTTCAAGCCGGAATCACCCCTCCCGGAGGCGTTTGGCAGGATGTCGACGAAAATGGCAAAGATCCACACCACGTTGCAGGGAGGTCCATCTACGCTGCTCAGCCCACACCCTTCTTTATATTCTTGATGGCAAACACTCTGGGCCTTTCTGCATCCATCAGTATCATTACTTATCTCACCATCGGATTCCCTCTGTACATGGAGGTTGTCATCGCTTCATATTCGCTGCTCCTCACCTACGCTTCTGCTATAATCGCCATCACACCCGAGGATGTGAGCTTCCGCTACATTCTGATTGCAGCAGCTGTTCCTTATCTAGTAAGGTTTATAATGCAAACGTTCAGAAAGTGGTACCCGAAGCTGGAAGACGCCATCACCAATTCTGTTAAGGGCTGATTGCTGCTGGAGGCTGGAGCTTCAATTCTTCTGTGTTATGTCATATCAGCATGTGTTTTATGTACTCTGTTGCAATAAACTAAGAGTCGATCGTTTATTAGCTTGGCAATGGATTTGATTTATTGAACATTTGAGTTTTTCGAGTTTCTTTCTGTTGTTGTAAGAAATGAGTGTATCTTTCAGAAATTGCCCTGTAATGACCAAAACACTTGCATGCATGGATGAGTCTACTGGTGTTTCATATCTTTCAGAAATTAATGGTCATTGAAATATTTAGAGAATTCTCATCACCTATATTAAAGAAAGCTCATGGTAGTTTAGAAGTTACCAATGGATGGATGCTCTCAATCAAGTTTAACAGTTATTAACGGAGACTCTCAATTTAGTTTAGTTTAGTAGTCACTCAAGATTAGCAGTTACCAATGAAATTTAGAAATAGATGAATTACAAAGAGAAGCAATTAGAAATATTGCCTATTCCCTCCTTCTTTTCCCCAAAAAATGGCAGTTTCACGTTTCTTGTTTAGTCCATGACGTAATTTTGCTTTTTCCATCATTAACCCTACAACTTTTTTTGTTTCTCTTTTCCATGCACACCTATAACCCAGTCCCTTGTTTCATGCTCTCTTTTCTCAAAAATATAATTTTGGTTTTCCAATTTTATCCTTATTTTTCCAAAATGCTATCACATAAGACAAAAGGTAATCATTACAGTTTTAATTATTTACGGCCATGCCACCATTTAAATGAAAAACAATGGATTTTATCTGTCTTTCCACTCCCCTTATTCTTTTCTATTTATTTAATTATTTGGAAATAATTTACTACCAATTATTATTAGCCCAATATTTGGGGCTATCCATGGGTCGGGTCTGGTTTGGGTTTGTCCTTTTACCTCTTTCTCTCTTTCGCCCAATATTTAGGATTATTAATGGGTTGGGTCTGGTTTGGGATAGCTTGTACCATTTTTGTCCTTTTACCTCTTTCTCTCTCTTGCCCAATATTTAGGATTGTTAATGGGTCGGGTTTGGTTTAGAATAATTTGTCCAGTCCCATCCCAACAATCTTTATTTATTTTATTAAATTAAATAAAAATTTATTTATTTAACTTACTAATTATTTATTTATTTAAAGATAATTTACTAACAAATTATTATTAGTCCAATATTTGGAGCTATCATTGGTAGGGCTGTCAACAAATTGGGTTTGGGCAGTTCCAAGTAGAACCAAAATCAACCTGACAAGAATTATCAAGGACTTGAAGCTGAATCAAATTTGATAAGGTCTACAATTTTAGACCCATAACCGAATTGATCAGTTATGGGGACAATCGGGTCTGAGATGATGGACCTGATTACCTGATTATAATAAACCTATTGAAAATATTATATACATAATATTAATTTATTTAATATATATATATATATATATATATATATGAATTGGTTCAGGACTAGGTGGGAACTAGAACCGACCCAATTGGTTTGGGTCCGCCATGTCTGTTGGGTCCAACCCAACCTATTGACAACCCTAATTATTGGGTCGGGGTTGGTTTGGAATAGCTTGTACCAGTTCTACCCCAATAAACTTTTATTTATTTTATTCAATTACATAAATTATTATTTATAAAATTTCTTATTTAGTTTATTAAATTATTTACTTATTTATAAATAATTACTATTTAAGGTCATGCCACCATATAAAACAAAACAATGAAAGTCATCTCTTTCTTTTCTCTCCCCTTATTTTTTTTCCTCAAGAGTTCTCTCTCTTTATCCCCCCCTCGAGCTCAATATTTAGGATTGTCAATGGGTCAGGCCTGGTTTGGGATACTCTATACCAGTCTTGTCCCAATAAACTTAATCTATTCATTTATATATTTTATTAAATTGAATAAATTATTTATAAAATTTTATTTACTTAATTACTAAATTATTTGTTTATTTAGAAATAATTTATTAACAAATTATTATTAGCCCAATATTTAGGGCTATCAATGGGTTGGGTCTGGTTC